ATACAGATGGGATCTAAGATCTATCAGACAATGAGCTGGTGGTGAGTGAAGGTGTGTATTTGGACCGACAAAGCAGTATGAATAGAGTGAAGAATGGATGAGAACAAATTCCAAGGGACAAGAGTCATTTAAGAAGTAGGTAAAGGATGATCGGATTCTAGGAAGATGCATAGGAAAGACTAATGATGTCATAGATACCAAAAAAAGAGAAACATCAAGGAGGAAAGTAGACAGAAGGAAAGTAGACAGCAGTGGCAAAAGCCACAGAAGGTTCAAGTGTAGAAAAGAATGGAAACAGTTATTAATAATATTGACTTAAAACAAGCTGTTACTTAAAAGCAGGAAAGCTCCAAAAAATTTTCAAAAGTGACCTCTCATTATTTTTAGAAGAAATGTAGGGGGAAAAAACATTTCATATCTGTAGCTCTTGGATTGTTATTGCAAGAAATTGCTTATTACAGAAAACATAAGATTAAACCAAAGGTGTAGTGATTTTAGCATCTCAGTTTTGGTCTAAGACTGTCTTTTTTCCTTCTAAATGTGCAGAATGAGCCATCAAGCTGTAATTTACCTTGTTCAATGATTGCTTTTGTCACATTTGACTTGTATCAGACAGTTTTGAAAATTTTAAGTGTTAAGCTATTATCTGTTACTATAGGAAAATAAAATCTATTCTTTTGTTTGTTTAGAGAGCTTTTTGCTATAGAACGCATGCACTTGCCAGGGAAACAGAAAGTGACAAAGAAACAGAAAGTGAGGAATCACCCCCTGGTGGGATGGGCACGCACACACATGTGCCCGGGTATGAGTTTTAAGCCATCAGGTCCAGGACTTGAACTGCGGTCAACTATGTGGGAGTTCAGTGACATAACCATTACTCCATCTGCTAGTCCCATGTTTTTGATATGAGAAGAACTCCAGTTGCTAGAATATATATGTAACTAAGAACACGGTTACATGCCTGTCCTTCTGCTAGTTTCTTCTTAGATAAAACACTTAGGGTGAGATGGCTTTGCCTCCTGCAAACTCCGTTACCATGCGCGAATCACAGCACACAGCTGGAACTCTGTGTTCCTGTCTCTAAAATCAAAGGGTAGGTGTCCCCTAGAACTCTGCCTTTCAAACTGGAGATCATGACAGGGCTACGAAATAGAAGGTATCAGAGTGCATTCCCTGCAGTGGGTAAAGTCCTGGTTTGCTAAACTAACAGTTCAGGAGTGTGTGTGAGTGCTCATGTATGAAAATGAAGGAGAAAGGGGACCAGGCAGTGACACAGTTAAACACAATGCCCCATGGGGCTGATCCATGTGGAAAGTTCCGGGTTTGCATCTGGAGGTCTCCCCAAGTTCACCGAGCTTGTGCGTGCCTGTGATCCAGGACTGGCCAAAACTGGGGATGGATCATAGAATTAGGGCCCTGTCGGGAGTGCTGTCTGTCTGGGTCTCTCTTCTCTCCCTGTCTCTCTAACTTATGGAAGAAATAAAGTTAAAAAGAGAGAGAGAGAGAGACAAAGGTAGATTACTAGATCATGGTGTAAAATATATTTTTTACTGTGGATTGTGACTAATAGATGATTAAAAACCACTGCTTTTGACCAGAACTTCTTCCTGTTTTAAAGTTTTCTGTTCCAGTTAACTGTCAAATTGTTCTTCTAGTGTAGGAAATGTTTCAAAACAATACTCTGGAGTGGCAGGTATAAAAACGATTAAGGAATAACTGCTCATAACAAAAGAGAATAGCATTAAAGGGTGAATAAAGCCAACATCTGCATTGTATTTTACTACAAGATTGAACAAGCCTTTAAAATTTATTAGTATTCCAGCTAGCAAGTCATTACTGTAATTTATGAAGCAAACTGAAAGTCTGCTATATATTAATAAACAACAGAGTAATTCTTTTGATGATCATATAAACAACCAAATCGAAGAAGAATAATACTTTCTCAAAAGTAACAATACTCTGGCACATAAATTCCAGAATTGGCAATTAACTAAATGTGGTGTGTCTCCACCCTTGCCACATAAAAAGATTCATTGACATGGTTATGAGACGAGTTGGTGTATTTTTATTGGCCCGAACTAGGGAGAGTAAACACCTTAGTCAGGTGTTTTGTTTTAGAAACAGCTGTTGGAACTTCCCCTCCTGGTTAATTCTGCTCTAAGGTATATTTGAGCATGTGCTTCTCACCATGTTTACTGATATTTAGAATCTTAGTGAATGGACAATTTATTTTTTTTTTTACAAAACCAAGAGAAAATGAGTTAGTTTTTCTTATTTGTGAACTGTTTTTAAGTCTTCTACAACCTACAAAATTTCACAGATTTCAGATGGTGTTAAAAAGAGACCATTTACAAATAGTAAGACCTGTGAATCAGGAAATTTGAAGGGATTGTTCTCATTTGTCCCTCCCATCACAGCAATTGGACAGTCAGTGAACCCTGGGTTCTTTATTTCTGCTCTGTGGTCTTAACAATCCTGGGGTGGGGCATGGTGGTTAAGAGCACTGGACTCCTACATGGCCAACCCTGGTTCAAGTCCCTGGACCTGAAGGCTTTCTCTCTCTCTCTGTCTCTCTCTCTCTCTTTCTCTTTCTCTCTCTCACACACACACGCACACTTTCTCCCTCTGTCTCTCTCTGGTCAAATTTAAATAAATAAAGTTAAATAAAATAATTATTTAAATAAAAAATTAAAAATCCTGTGGTATTTGCTTTGCTTCTTGCTAATCTAATCCCCAACTTTTGACAATACTAAGTCTCATCCCCCTTTCCATCATTAGTCAGCTGGCAGAGAAGGCATAGGCAGGAGGGGAATTGAGGCAAGGGACGTAACCCAACATTTTTTACAAAGCCTTCTTGTTCATCTAAGATTCCTGGAAGATAGCTAGCTGGTGGGCCTTGCTGGTGAGATGTGGGCAGGGCTGGCTCTGTCTCCCTGGCTTGAGCCGGTTGGCCTGTGGCAGGCACCAAGTCTACCACCTTCTCCACTTTCAGGACCCTGCTCTGTCCTAGGGTATAAGCACATACAATTGTGCCAGACTGAGAGATAAGATACATATATGTATTTTTTTATTAGTTCGATGTGACAACATTGTGTTTACCTTCTAGCCCTCTTATTTATTAAATGAACAGGCTCCAACGATTTAAGGACACCAAGTGAGCTCTTTGTAAACAATTTCTTACTGCCTTCTGCCACACCAAAGCTCAGGAAAAGGGACTTGAAGGAGGATTCCCAAGGGCATGATAGACTTTAAATGCCTGGGGAGCAGGGAGTAAGACGCAGCAAGTAATGCAATTCAGAATGAAGACAGTGTGTTTAGAAGGCAATTTAGAAAATGCACAAAGTGTATATGGGGCAGTATTGGATAGTAAGAACATGATTTTCTCTGGGTTTTATGTTCTCAACTCTAAAACTCAAATAGTAATGGTACAGGGTCTATATAAAGCCATAGTTTTTCTAATTACAATGTCCTATGTTAAATGATGATAGGGATAGTTCCTGTACTAATTCTCCAGGTGTGCTGTGATAATAAAAGAGTATATCAAAATTTCTGTTTTGTGGAGAAATTTAAAATGTCATGCATAAAAGAGTTGATGTTAGAATGTCAACAAAGCCTTCAAAAACTCATAAGCCTAGCGTACTTTCACTCTAGAAGTTGTTTTCTTCTTTACTAACTGGGTAAGGTCTTCAACCATGAGCCATGCTGCTTCTTGGATTTTATACGTTACAAGAAGTAACACCGTAAGAACAGCACAGATTTGTATATCCCCAAGTTCATTTCAGTTGCAGTAGACGTCGGTAGGATATGGGTCATGGGAGACAGATGAGCCATCTTCACTCGTGTCCAAGGCTTGAAACTAGGTAGAAGCCTCTGTACTTGCCTCTGGCTGCTAGGTGCCTGGGTAGTGTCACATGAATGTCAAGATCAGCTGTGTGAACTGGACATGGTACCAGGTGGTCAGAGTCATTTCTTCCTACTTTGAATATGGTCAAGTTTGGCCAGCAACCTGAATAAATGCAAATCATCATCATCATCACCACCCAGAATAAAATTTCTATTTATTATCGTTCTAAAATTAATCTACACTGTATCTGTTTTCTGTTATTTGTGGCACTGCATCTAGATACTCACCATGGATTTCGGTGTCAAGTAACAGTGGGTGGCTTTGGGATTCACTGAATTTCTTGCCCCTGCAACAGACATGGGAAACTTGATTTCTTCCACTTTATGTTTTTCAGTAATCCTTGATATTCTATTTTTCATAATACTTTAGGCAGTGTTATGTCTTCATTGTGCAAAGTACCAGAGATATTTGGGGCTTTATAAAATAAGTAAGTCAAGTTTGCACAAGGATAAACCATGCACACCACAGCAGTTGGAAGGTCAGGTGTGGTGGTAAAACATGGTGTTCTGTGAGCCTGATTCACACGGAAGGTTCTGAGTTCGCACCTGGAAACTTCCCTGAGTACTCCGGGCATGCATGATCTGTGAGCTGGCTAAAGCTGAGGTTGGATCACAGCAGAGTTGGGGGTTCTCTCTCTCTCTCTCTCTCTCTGAAAGAAGAAATAAACTTTAAAAAAAAATTTTTTTGAGAGGCTTTTCCTATAGGGCTCATTCACTCGCCAGAAAGACAGAGAGAGACAGAGAGACAGAAAGTGAGAAATCACCCCCTAGGAGGGATGGCCACGCTGCAATCCCTTCTCCTCCATTCTCCTCTAGGGATCTTGGACACGCATGCACACGCGCCCAGTGTGAGTTTAAGCCACCGGGTCCAGGACTTGAACCGTGGTCGACTACGTGGGAGTCCAGCAACATAGCCATTATGCTAACTGCTGGTCCTTTAAAAACTTTTTTTTAAAATGTTTAAAAGCAGCTAGAGCCCAAATCCCTGTCTTTGTCTCTTGCTATGGGCCTTTCCTGATACTGACTCCCTCTCTGTGTGACCCTGTTTCATGAATCTGAAGTATGTATATTCTTGACCTGTAAAATTCTCCTTTTAGGATCCACCCACTTCAGTTTCCCTCGGACTTCGAATGGAAGAAATGATTTTCAACTTGGCCGACACACATCTATTTTTTAATGACTTGGAAGTAAGTTCTGGTTTTTTATACATACTTCATATTGCATGTCTGAAAATAGGTACTTGTTTTAAAAATAACAATGGGATATTTTTAAACATATATAATTGCAATAATGAGATAAAGTAATTATCATGGGCAAATATTTCATGTTCATGGTATTTCTGTTTTGCTTTGCTTTCTGTTGGCTATTGTTTTTTTGAAATTAGATCCCACGGGACTACTGGTAAGGATTGAAAATTGATAACAGGAATCTTGAATATTATGTCAGTCACGGTGGTAAAGTGATTAGTCAACACCCTGCAGTACTGAGGCCTATGGGAAGGTCCTGGGTTTGCATCCCAGGGTCTCCCTGGATATGTCTGGCCCAGGTACACAAACCCATGACCTTTGGTTGGCTGGCAGTGGATCCTGGCATGCAGACTAGTTATGGTCTGTCTTTCTCTGTCTTCCAGTCTCATGGAAGAAGTAAATAAATAAGCTTAAAAAAAGGATCTTAAACATTAAACTTTGTTGATGATCAGAAGCGATAGATTTCTTAGTTTCACCATGGGGATGTATTACCTTTAGAATATAACAGAACTCCTGATATTTGTGCAGGCTGTCTGTGTCCGTTGCTGGGTTGGATCTTATCTTGCTGGCAGGTCCACGTGGTTGGATGACATTTCAGTAGCATCCCTGCTCTGGGATGCCAGGATTTCTTATGTCAAATTGCTGATCTTATTTGTCCATTAACATGTCAGGAAAAACGTTGGCAAGCTGGTTACTAAATGTGTCACGGGTACTGACAAACATGATGACCTGGGTTAACGGCATTCTTAACAATAAGGCATACTGCTTTTCATATCTGCATTATGAGAACACACAACTCTAACTCCATCTCACTCCCTTCTTAATAGAGACAGTTGTTTATTTAAATCCTGCTGTTAAGCAAGCTTGTGAAAGGGCTGCCAAAAAGCATTAATCGCCAGGTTGTTGCTTTGCTAGATTTTATAAATGTATGTTATTTCAGACAAGAGAGGAATCTGAAAGATTCAAATAGAACTTCCACTGATCAGAGTTAATTGGCAGCAATTGGCCTTTAAATATTTCCTGATGTTTCCCTTTGCAAAATCAAGCAAAATGCACCTTATTTAATAGATGAGCCAAAGTCATTTGAAAAATGCCAGTGTGTGACAGAACTTAAATGTGGTTTGTTCAACATCTGTCCTGTATTTTGATTTCTTTTCATCTGCAATGAAACCACTCACAGACGAATTGGCAACTGCCAATGCAATAAAATTATTTAAATGTGCTTTAATATTTTTCCAACGCTTTGTGAAATATTTATTTTGATGCTTAAGGGTAAAATACAAATTTATTTATTTTTTGCATTTAAAGTCTGTGTTTTTCTCAAGGAAATTACATGTAAGGCATTACTAGTTTTTAAAGTAAAAATATTCCAAGTGACAAGTTCAGAATTACCTTTAGAAAAGCTTAAGAATCACGTTTAGTTTCAAAAGTTGTTTCTGATTTATTATGCATTTTACTTCATAAGAGAGCAACACAAAAAACTTTTTATTTTACTAGTGTGTTTACTAGTATGTTAAAATTCTTTTCTTAAATTTTCATTTGTTTCAAGAAGATATGGACAAGGCTGATAATCTTTCCAGGATATCTTTGTTGCTTTTATTGATAATAGGTGTTAATAGCACCCACACAGAAGAAATTAGCAATAATTTGCTAATTATAAACTCTGCCTTCTTAAAAATCCCAAACTTCCTATGAAGTGCTAAAAAATGAAGTTAGGGAAAGTAATGACTTTATGTAATATAGACCAAAAAACTTCTAAAGCCAGTTTTGGTGTAATGTAGTCAAATTTTTATTTCTTTATTGGCTACATTTACACCGAAGTGTGTACAGGTTGCTCATACCCTGACCTGAGCATTTGAAATTCAAAATACTACAAAATCCAATGATTTTTGAATGTCAACCTGATGCGACTCGTGGAAAATTCCACACCTGACCTCATGTGATGGATTGCAGTCAAATCAAAATATTGTACATTACGTTAAGGCTATGTGTATAAGGTTTGTATGAAACAGAAATTAATCTCATGTTTAGACTTGGGTTCCATCCCCAAGATACCTCATTATGTATATGCAAATATTCCAAAAAAGAAAAAACAAAACAAAAGTAACTCCACAATCTGAAACACTTCTGGAGTTAAGCATTTTGGTCTAGGGTTGCTTAACCAATATACAAACTGAAGCAGTACTCAAACAAATACATTAAAGTTATAGTGTAGGGATGCAGTGAGTGTTGTTTTTCTATAAATTCAAATTTAAAAAAAGAATTAGCAGTTTATGCAGTTATTGAAATATTAGATTCTACTCTTGAAATGAGGGCAAGTTGTAAAGTAGAAGAGGATGTAAAAGTATAATTCAACCAGATATATCAAACAATCATGGAAAAATGTTTAAACTGATATCCTCATGTAAGTTGATTTTAAATTATTTGACATCAGAGTATTATAAAGGTATCAACACAAATACAAATGAAAGATTCATTTTAGCCTGTCTTTGAAAATTGTTTACTTGTTCTAGTTTTACACAATACTTTTCACATAAATTAGTTCTTACCATTATTTTTAATCTTTACTTTTTATATTTTTGTAATTCGACAAACCTGAGGCTGGTCATTGCAAATGTAAGTTTCTTTCAAAGTAAAAAGTAAAATTATTTCCTGGCAAAAATAAGTGTACTGCATAATGCTCTTAAGAAAACCCAAATTACCTCATCTGGCAGAAATGATGTGGTAATGCCCGATTTCACGCTCGAGTTAGCAATGTGCAGTGGTAGTAGGGGATGTCAATATTTTAATATGTTTAAATTACATGGTTTTACCTTGTTAAGGTCTAGGGTACGAGTCGTTTCAAAGTGTTTAACAATCCCTTGTTAAGCTTAAAGTGTGATTTCTAAACTCTAATTATTGATGGTTAGCCTTGTTTTCTTCTAAAGTCTTAATTTTCCTAGCTGTCCCTGTGTTTAATTTGGTTAGTTCACTCTTGGACTCAGTCAGACATTGTGAATAATGAACTACACCATGGAAGGGCTTTCGGTAGCATTCCTGTTATCAAAGCAGGTGTTTGAAGAGGGTATTAGACTATGATTTAAAAGAGTCAGGATATAGTTTTTCAAATAGTATAGAATATCTTCATTGAATTCTAAAAAAAAAAAATCAAACTTAATTTTAAGAGTTTTGTTTGTCATCTCACTTAGTGATGTTTTTTAATTTGAAAAAAAATCACAATTTTCATTAATTGTATCATTCCAGAAAAAAAATTAAAGGGAAAAATTTTGTTTTTCTGTACTGTTAAAAATGTTTGACATGTTTAAAGATTGGGAGTGACAGAGACATAATTATAGTAGGAAATAATATTTTCCCACTCCAGAAGAAAGATTTAGACTTCAGTTCTGTAGTGTTCTTCTGGCTGTTCTAATGTCTCGCATCTCATTTTATGGCAAGGTTTCCTCATACAATATAGTGATGCTTATATGGAAGTTAATTTTTATGAATAACCGCATGGAATTGTAGGTTTTTTCTGGCTTGTTTAGAAAGTATGACTTCTGGACTGGAGGAAGACAGTTCTGTCTGTTGAATGGTTGTTAAAAGGCAAACAGCAAACGGAGTGAAGAAAGGCCTCAGTGAGTGGATGGTCATGCTTCAGTCTAACTGTCACTGGTCAGTTCTGCTGGATGTTTCCCAATTAAAAGAGAATAGTTTACATAGGTGATGTAAGTCTAAATAAAAATAAGGAAGGGGGCTTACACTGAATTTTCTCTTTCTGTCTCATGTGAAGCGATATGACTGTGTGGGTGTTATGGTTGCCATCTTTGCCATCAGCCTTTTAGAGTCTGCAGAAGCAGGCCTCTGGTCTCAGGTCTCACTTCTCCCTTGCAGGCGTTAGAGTTAGGGGTAGTGGGCACCCTCCTTCAGTCTCCCATGAGATACAGGCATGCGAAGCCATTGCACACACCGTGGTCACCCAGCTAAGTGTGATGCTGTGCTGGATCACTGCTATTCACTCTCCTAGTAAATTGTTTAGTCGGGCCAGACCAGGGGATTCTGTGGTGTCAGAATTGACAACACGAACACTTCTAGCACCTTCTGGGACCTTCCATGATGTAGACTCCAGTCCTAGATCTGATTTTTAAGCATTGTAACCTTGTTTTCACCTTTTCTATTCAGAAAAGGCTAGGGTCAGAATGTTTTGGTCTCATTAGAGTCTGAGTTTGATGAATCGAAGTCAAGGGAAAGGATGTTGTGGGCACAATTTAGGTAACACCATAATTTAAAGGGAGTGCCAATGATTTTTCCTATAAAGCATAGAAATTAATTTACCCTTTGGTTTAATTCAGTCTTTAAACTTGCAATGATATTTTAATGCTTTAAAACTTAGGTTATCATCTATTATTATTTATATAAATATATATATAAATATATATATTATTTTTAGTTATGACAAGAATTTTTCTTCAAAGTATGCTATATCAATACTAAGTAACTTCAATGTCAAGTGAAGCACTTCGTGCCGACTTAATTCTTATGCTTCCAATGGGTAAAATATTTAATTCGGAAGTCTTTTTTTTTTAATTGTCAGAGGGTGTGCGTACTCAAGAGAGAGAGAGGAGAAAGCATCCCCTAGTAAGAAAGGGTCATGCTGCAATCTCTTCTCCACCATATCTCATTAAAATTTTTTAAAATTTTTTAATTTTTTAAGAGTTTTTCTTTTTGTTATAGGGCATGTAGGGCACGTGCACTCGCCAGACAGAGAGAAACAGAGAGACAGAAAGCGAGAAATCACCCCCCAGGCGGGATGGCCATACCGCAATCCCTTCTCCTCCATTCTCCTCTCGGGATCTTGGGCACACACGCACATGCGCCCGGCGTGAGGTTAAGCCACCAGGTCTGGGATGTGCACCGCGGTTGACTACGTGGGAGTCCAGTGACATAGCCATTACGCTAACTGC